GACCCTCAGGAGCGGGGCTGTCTCTTCTCCCCTCAGGCTTGCAGCGGACGGAGGCTTCGTCTTCCTGCCCACAGCCTCCGTGGAGAGCCTCTTCGTGTTCGCTCTAGGGCAACGCTTTCCTTGCCGCTTTCCAGAGCCTTTGCAGCCAGGAGAGGTTGTCAGCAGAGTACCTGGGGCTCCAGATGAGAAATGGAAACTTGGAGGAAAAAATGGGTGTAAGAAAATGTTTCTAAGGCCCTGTTTTGTTGACTCTTCACTTTGCTTGAACTGCTGTGTAAGCGCTGCCACCAGTGTGGTGACATAGATGGTTAGTGCTGGCCTGGAGACATTCGAGTTCCTCCCAGGTGTTTACGGAGCTGCATGAGGCAGGAGAGTGTGAATATCTTAATTTTCTGGAGGACGACTGGAGAAGCAGCAAGGACTGGGCTTCTTTGAAGTCCTAGGGCCTGGCATGTGGCTGGGATTGACCAGAGTTCTCCGAGACCTTGGCTGGGATCCCGGTCACAAGTCTCCGTTCTCAGCGTTGCACTGGTAGCACTGAGGACTGCTTGCTTTTGGCTTTTAATTCTGAGCATTTGTTTCCTTGCGGTCAGAAGAGTTTGTGTCGCGCTGGCCAATGTGGGATGAGGGAGAGTAGACCTGCTTCTGCAGTGGGGTTGGAGCACATAAGGGTGGTGGCCAGCAAGTCCTGCCTCGACTACTATGGATCTGCTGGCTATTGGCACCTTTGTGCCAGTTGGTTGCAGAATTTGGGCTGCAGAATTTGTTCCTTGTCACTAAATTGGTTTTGTCTTACCAAGCTCCCAGGTATTTTTTTAATGAGGCCCTGGTGTTTATTATGGGTCCTGGGTAAATGTCTAATTTAGCATACACTCAGTTTCCATGTTTACAAGAAAACCCTTTTGTTTGTAAATTAAACTTGTGATTATTTTTCTTGACCCCCCCCATGATGACTTAGAGTTACTATAGTCTGTAACAAATTTGGATGTTACCTGCTCTTCTAGGTGCCGTCTTGAAGACCTAGTGATATGATAGGGTGATACATTAGTGTTTAAGATAGTGCTGAAATGCAGAGTTATTTTGTTAGAATTGGTAGTTCATCAGAACATACACTGTAAAATAGTTCATGAGTATTGAATCATCTTATTTATTTTCCTTGTTTTAATTAAGGCTTTCTCTTTAGCATTATTGTTTACTATCTGTCTTGTGGGACTGGAACATGAATTTATTATATTTATCTGTGATCTTTATTCTTTAGACAAGGGCATCAGATAAAGTAAAAAAAAAAGTGTATGTAACATATAAAGTGTTTTTTTCTTCACCAGTGTTGTAGTTGCTCTTGGTACAGCTGCTGAAGAAAGCAGTTCTGTTTCCCTTTTCTTGTGCTCTGGTGTCTGCTCAGCCACGTGTTTGGCTTTGTGATGAGCTGCATTAGGGACCTGATTTGTCTGAAAGCTTAGCTCACCAAAATGAGCAAGCACAGAATTTTCAGCCAGATCAGTTTCCTGATCTCCATCTCTACCACGCCTTCCCATGGGATGAGCACTGCTGTTCTTGGTGGTGGTGATGGTGGATCACAGCAGCTGAAGGTGCTTCTTGAAGTCCACAATTGCTCTTAAGTGTCTGTAGAGTAAAAGTCTGTGTTTCTTATTTCTTAGCCAATAAAAAGCATGCTCTGTGCTCAGGGATCTCGCTTCAGTTAGGTCAGACACTGAGAGGTAACATCAGATGTTCTGTTGTGCAGCAGTGTCATTTGGAGCTGAACTGTGAGAAAGGCAGTCAGCTGCTTTTACAGCAGGAGAGTAATTTTTTTCAGTTCATGAAGAGTTTGTACAAGGTGAATTTAATTGGGACCCTCTGTCCAATTCACACAATTACTCTTAAGAATATGTAATTGTCTGTTCCCACAGTAAGTCAGTAGTAAACACCATTATTTCTTCTGTTGCCAGTCTGCATTAGAATTTATGATATGCTGCCTTTTTTTTTTCCTCTACTCTCTTTAAAACATTTGTTAATGCTCCTAAAGCCTGACCTTTGTATTTTCACTTTAGGAAATAACATCTTTACTCTCGCTTTATGGTGGGCAGTTCAGCAGTGAGCAGGAAATTCACGTAAATGTAAGTGAGGGCCAAATATTTCACTTGAGTGTATGTATAGTATACAAGTATATTCTTTATAGTATTTTTATTAAATGTGAGTAGCATAATACATTTTGAAGGTTTTTTTGAAAATAAGAAATCTTGCTGAAATGACGGATTCTCAATTTCAGTAAGGACTTGGGTAAAAAAACTTCAGTAAGGAGTTGAGTAAAAGATGCATGAAATGCACCTCAGGTTGCTTTGGTCTAACAGTGTGAAAATAAACAGTGCCACCTGCTGGGAGGCTCTCCTGGCTTCCCCGAATAGCTGATCCGTGGAAATACTTAGTAGCTCTTTGAATTTGGTGTTTGCCTCTAAATCAGTAAGAGGGTGTATCCAGAAGAGTGCAGCTAGGAAACTGTATGATGCTCGTCTCAGTGCTTAGCCAGAGACTGTCACTGGGTTTCAGTTACTGCTTGTGTGTAACTAAATGTTACGGTTCTTTAGAGGATGCGTCATCTAGAGAAGCATAAACAGATAATATGATTTTACCAAGTCAAAGATTGAAAGTGGAATTAAAATGGAAATGAAATACCTAATAAAATTTCATCCAGTCTCAAGTTTTATCTCAAATTAAATGTTTTATCTTCACATTATCTGTGCGGTCAACAGATTTATGTGTTTTGTTTTTATTTTTTTTTAATCTTCGGCATGCATGTTCTGTTTTTATGGTACAGAATTGTGTAACTGTGTAATTTGTGTGACAACATCCAGCTAGGCATTTGCGTTACTTATCTTCTCTTTATTTCAGTCTCCGTTTTGGATTCTCAGTATTCCTTCAGAAGAGATGGCAAGAGGACTAATGAAGCGAACAGTATGTGCAAAGTAAGAGGTGAACAATCTTGTAAATTATAATGTAGGCGGTGGAAAATTGTTCTCCTGTCTTGTGGCAAATATTGATTTTGTATGGGGTCTTAAAATAGTTGTACACGAGCCAGTACCGGTCTGTAATGGTAGTGTCACTGATGTTTTAGTTACCTTGAGTGATGTTTAGTTAGGGGCTTGTTTTAAAATGTGTATGGAATTAAAATATAAAGACAGTGATACATAAAAACTGAAAATCAGGTTTGGAAGGGAAAGGTAGCGAGCAATTCCTTGTGTCACTCTCCTAGTGCTGGTACCTGAGCTCTCAGCCCAGACCACTGCAGCAGAGGTCCTTCTAGGAAATTCAAGAGCACAGGAATATGCCAGAGAGTGGTTGTTCCAGCAGCTTTTGGTATTTTTTAGAGGTGTCTGAATAACATGCTTTCCAGTGAGACTTGAGAGATACCTTGGAGCTATGGTTCAGGACCAGAAGCAGCATAGCTGTGGTATGGCACTGACCGTACTAAATGTGGTGTGTCTGCGCTGTCCTGCTCAGGGTTAATTTGGGCGCCCCTGCAGAGTGCTGCATGGTCCCTGTTGAGTGCTTGTTGTGTCAGGTATCCAGTTTTTACCTACAATGACTTGAGGTGTCCACCTTGTCCTAAAAAACCTCTGTGTGTTCAAAATTGTCCTTATGACAGTATGTTTCCAATGGGGATAAGCTGCTCTGCACTTCAAAAAGCAACCATAGGCAACTAAGGAAGTAGAACATCACAAAACAGATTGCAGTTGTTCCATAAGCCATGCACTCTCAGCTAATGTGTGCTTATTTTATGAAGAAAATATGACTGGCCCATGTTTTATTTCCTGGTTTACTACTTGTTGGGGGGAGATATGTTAGAGTAAGACTGCTGGAGCATCTCCATTGCACTGCTAGTGAATATTTAAAGCTCTGAAGCATACATTTATCTAAATATAAAATCTCCCGAGCATTTTGTGTTTTTTTTTTCCCAATATGCATATATGTATAAAAGTAAAAAGTGGGACGGAAAGGGATAAGAGTTTCTCCAATAGCTGATGAAGATGAGTATTCGGTTCTCTCTAGTACAGCCTATGCTGTCAGCATTTTCATTGCTACATCTATAAACGTAGCTTAAATTCTCACAGTGGATGTATCAGATGCTTTAGGGAAAAAAATTAGACGCTGCAAAAAGTGTACTTTTTTTCAGGGTAAATGCAGGTTAGAAATGTAGCCTTGAAGAGTTTATTCAGGAATACTTTAACAAAATAATAGCTCACCACTGGGACACCAGAATTTCTGTACTAAAAGGACTTTCTTCTTTGGTATGGAAGGGCTACATGGGATATTTGAATGCTGGGGGAAAGGTCTACGATACAGTGTTGTGCCTTCATTACAGTGGCATCGATTCTCTCATCTTCTGAGGCAGTGCTTTTCTTCAAGCCATCAATATGGAAACAAAGAGAGAAAAAAAGTGTAAAATGACAGCATAGTGTTTGAACATCTGAAAATGTCCAACGTCATAACCACATCTTAAATTGGAATAGAACCTCTGATGATGTCATTATTCACAGGATGTTACAGTTTTGTGATTTGTTTTACTCCAGGGTAGTAATCTGAAAGTCTGTTCTTGACCTTTTTCAGCCTTTGCTTACCCCATCAAATTGGTGGGTACAAATGAATTTTGTCTCAGTTGCTAGTATCACTGTGTGCCAGAAAAACGTCTGGTAGTATTGAAGGGTACTAAGACTGAAATTTACCTTTTAGTACATGTTACCAAAACAGAAAATAAGAATGGCATTATCAGCTTACAATTAAAAATCAGTGTGCCGCTGTTAAGAACAAAACTTAAGCACGTGCTAAGAGTTAAATAATGTTCTTCAGTACTCCATGAAGCACAGCCTAAATACGTTGGCCAAGAAGGTTAAAAGGAGTAAGTATCTGTAAGGCAATTTCCACTCCCTGTATGCGACTGCACTGTAACAATCTTTGTAATTCCAGGTCTCTATTTGAACTGTGGGGTCATGGAAGATCTGCAGCGGAGCTCTATGCATCTTTGAAGAACTACCCAATGGACAAGATGGTATGTATGTAAAGAATGTGGAAAATACAGTTTCTTAATCGCACTGAATAGCACTGCAGCTATACTAGTGAAAGTGTCTTTGCTTTTTTTTTTCAGCTTCCATATCTACAGCCAGACTCTACTTACAAAGTACATATTCATACATTTAATAAAACACTGACCCAAGCACAGAAAATAAAAAAGATAGATGTAAGTAGATGCTTAAGAAATCTTTCCCATTTAATTTAATTGAATTTATTTTTTTAAATTCTATCCTATATCAGTGTATTTAAGTTTGGGTTTACTGAAGATCTTAAAGTGGTTTATAGGTTGTGTCTTGTCAGCTCTAAATGAGATCTTTGTGTCTGAATTAACATCCCCTCAAAATTAATGACTTTCTGGGTTTTTTTTCCTAAACAGACCATGTAAGACAAATAAATATCACTGTTGATTTTAGCCCAGTGTGCTGGGGGAACTGAAGCTTATTGTCCAAAACGATAGGATTCAAATGGCTACAGTTAGGTACTACGTTTTTTGGAAAATCTGTTACTTGATCTCCTTATGAGGCATCTGTCATCGCAGAATGTGTGTTCTGCAACGTTGCAGAACAAGTGACTTCAGTTGCAAGCTGTGTACTGTGGGCTAGTTTCCTGTTCTGTCCTTGTGCTCTTGCCTGCACTTTTGCTTTCCTCCTAACTGTATCAATATGTTAATTAGGAATTTTTTCTAAATTACTGTTAACTTTTGCTCTTCTGCATTCTATTTTAGCAGCTATTTATCCTATTTACTTCATCTACAGATGCTGAAATTATCTGTATTAATAGTAGCTACACTTGCCCGTTTGTTCAGTTTTTGTGTACGTGAAATAATGCTGATTATGTAAATTGGTGTAGCTGCACGTCACTGAAATTTTAAATCCCATTCTTCATCATCAGTGTTGTTTTTATAGCTTGAAAATTGTATAATTCATGTGCAGAGTTAATCTCTAAAGCTGTGTTCTGTTCAGTTAATAAAAAAAGTTATGGTTCCCAATTTCTGTTCCTTAATTATTTGAGCTATCTTTATTCACCAGAAAGGCATTTCAGAAACCCAGAGAATATTGAGAATGTACTTTTAGTACTAATCCATAATTTCTCACAAGTGGAATTGTGGTTTGGTTTTTGATTTTTTTTTCCTTTTAATTTTTTTTTGTGGACTGCATATTTAAAAAATTTAACCTTGGGTGGTTGTTTTTTTTTAATTTTGTTTTTCTTTATTGTATAGGCCCTTGAATTTCTGCCATTCAAAGGAAAAGTAAATTTAAAGAATCCAGAACACATCTTCTGGATTTTGGAAGATTATGGAATGGACCCCAATAATGTTCCTGAAGAGCCCTTTCATCTGTATTTTGGTAGATGGGTGCGTGAGTATGTTTGCTTCAGTTCTTATGAACTTGTATTTTCAGGAAAGTGTTCTTCAATCTAAATGTGAAAAATTGTGTTGAGTTTTAATGGAAGCAGACGATATTGTTATGGCTGAATCTGTCACTGCATAATACACTGATGCAAGTCTTGAAAATCCTTATTGTGACTAGGAAAAAGCAGGTTAATTGAGCAGTTCAGAGGTGGAAAATTTGAAGCTGTGCCTGGGAACACACCTGATTTTGCTCTCCATTGAGGCAACACAACACAGCAGTGAGACTGTACAGCTGTGGTGGTGTGTTATGTTACTGTGTGCCCAGATGGAGCTGCAAGCACCAGCAGCTTGCTTCAAATGTGAAGAAAGGTTTACAGGAGCAGTAGATGGCTTGTGGTCCCACTGAGTTGCATTGGCCCCACTGAGCATCCTATAAGTGCTTCAAGTGGTCCTGACAGGCATCTCTCACCCAGCGGGACACTGAGAGTGCAGTGCTGTATAGTAGGAACCACATTCAGAAACTGGAGCTGATCATCTGAGGTCTTTACTACAAACATTCTTGCCTGTTGGGTGTATGCAGTCCAAACCTGCTGCATTATTAGGATATTCTGAGGAAGTCTGAATCAGGTCTTTCATTTCTTGTGAAGAAAAAGTGGCTCCCCAAAGGATATCTTCCAGAATGACACCAGCCACCGATGGGAATGTGGGCTTGCAATGTCCTCGGTCAGAGGCAGCTGGATGGAGGGAGCACCACTGGTGAGGTTGTACAGCTGTCATCAGGGGCTGTGTACAGACGAGTTAGAGATCCAAGTGATCTGTTTGCATCTGTGAATATTCTCCAAGCCTGTGATTAATGTGAAATCACCCCAGGTTGTGGTGATACTGGAAAACATTGCAGCTCTTGTCCCATCTGTGCTGGATTCCTTACGTGTTTAAAAATAAGTAAACGAACCTGAAAAAAATAGGCAAAATTTATTTTGTTGGCACAGTAAGACTGATGTTGACCGAAGCTGGAGAATAGTGTTGGAATAGCTTTGGAACATGTTTTCCTACAGACTCCTTTTGTCCTTTTCAACATGTTTTGGATGTCCAATGTAAAAATGCTAGCATTTGGTCTATGATTGTTTTTCCAGTAAATTCTGATCTAGCAATGCTATCTTAAATTTAGATTTTGAGCATGAGAGAAAAGCCAGTGAAGATGAAACTTCCATGTGACTTTAAGCATGTGCATGTGTGTGTATGCATGCATGCACATGTTAACGTGCATTCCTACTCCTTAACATTTTGAAACACTTTTAACTTTGAATTGCCAGGAATTGTTATTCTGGTACACAGAATAATGGCAAAGTTGCTCCAATTGTTACTTTTTCAGAAGAATTTTCCCTCTAAATTGTTTGTATATTTTTGACCTCTGTCTTGAAGAATTTATCTAGGTATTGTACCAAGACATCCATTGATTGGAGAAGAAATCTGTCATAATCTCAGAAGGCAGAAAACCAACCGTTGTGATATGAGATGAAGAAGTTACCTCTTTGTTGGATGGTGCCACTTAAGCAAATCCATTAGCCAGTCTGCTTATCTCTTCTATCTAGGATCTGACCGTGATTTTAAATGTTTCAACAGATTGCAGATGGCCAAAGAGAACTTATCGAGTCCTACAGTGTGAAAAGGAGACACTTTATTGGAAATACTAGCATGGATGCCTGCCTGTCTTTCATTATGGCAAACCAGGGGAGAGTAAAACCCAATGATGTTGTATATGATCCATTTGTTGGAACAGGTATATTTTTTTTCTACTGGTGGGGAAAAATGGGAGATTCTGTTGCTGCTCACACTACATTTTTACCTGGCACAGCTGCTTCTGGTTCTCGACTGAGATTTGATGTGGTACCAAAAGCAAAATGGTGATTATAAAACGAATGTTTTCTTAACTTGAAAGAGATTTTGGGGGAGGGAGACCCCCCTTCTTCAGAAGATATAAACAGACTTGTCAGAAGTATAAAATAAGCTCTCTTAACTATAATTTTTTTATGTACCATGGCTTAAACACCAGTTCAGGTGTGTCATGGACCTCCTAAGATCCAAAATGACTAAGCGCTGGTACTGGCTAGAGGACTCCCTGCAGCGGCTTTCAGAGCGTTACAAGGAGCAGCATTTTTGGAGGTGTCTATTTAGAGGAGTGCTGAGGGCACTTCTGGTCATCAAATGCAACATAGCAATAGTTAGGTTGTAGCATTCAACAGTGATCAGTTCCTTGTGCTATCACGCCTTATCTTTAGTATAATACTGTTCACACCGTGTATGTGTCCCCAGCTGAGCTTTTCCTAGTTAAGCCAGGAGGGGGAGCTTTTATTCCACTTATTACTGTGTGTATCGTAGAAGTGCTTTTTGCCTAAGGGAAATTCAGCTGGTTTTGTAGGTGAAATAGATGATCTGTTGTGTCAGGCTGTGCCGTTTCATCATACCAGAGTATATGGCATTAAGGTATCTGTAATAGTTTCTTCAAAGGCATAACAAGGACTGTGTTTCTGACCTGGATTTTGCTAAACTTTGATCAAGAAGACTATGTGTGAGATGTACACAATTAAGAATACTTATGTTAATGGGAGGATTAAAAGAATTCGTTGCATAAATCATTACAAAGAAGCTAGGGAGGGAGAAGGCAACAATACAGGGTCGCTAATAGGACAAATTCTTATTAGCTTTTGGCTTCTCTGTACCATGGAAAATAGACTAGGGATATAATATTTTCAGAAACAAGACTTTAGTGAACTGTATGTTTTTCTCTTAAATTTTTGTTCATATGCAACCTTATTTTTTGCATTCATAATAATATCTTAGAAAATTTCCTCCTTTTCCTTATGCTTGTGTTCCTCGCAGATGGGTAGTACTCTTTGAAAGCTTCAAGAAATTCCTCTACTTCATCTCTAAGCCATTTCTTTTATTTTGGTGTCCGTGGTTTTGTTTCTTTTTACAAAAATCTGCTAAACTTAAATGACAAAAAATTCTCTGAGAGCATACATTCTCTTGGGAGTGAAAATTGAAGAAAAACTAAGATGGAAGAGTAAAGTTAGAGGAGTAAATATCATGTAGAGTTCATGAAGCTACAGAAATTCAAGACAAGTGTTAAGTCGTAAGCATTTCAGTTCAAAAGTGTAACATATGCAAAATTCTCCCCAAATTGCCTAATGATTTGAATTGCAAAATGTGTTTTTATTGGTCTAGACACCTGTATTGTACAGGCTCGAAATTAAAGGTACACAGGGACGCTGGAGATACTGAGTGGTACACCATTTGTCAGTAAAGCATATTTATGACTAAATAACTGAACAGTGGCTTTTGCACCTACTTTTGGTGAGTAGATCCCAGGAATTTCAATTGTCTCTCGAGATCCTTTAGAGGATTTTCAAGATTGTCAGTGCAACAGGGTGCTACGACTGGAATTTGGGGAGGTTGTTTAGAGTTGAGTGATGCAGTGAGGTTGAGGTGATGGGTTTGGAAAGAACATACGTTCAGGATTTGAGGAGTACTTAAAAGAAAGCATAGTTCAGATTTCTTTATTGGCGCAACCTTAATACTTGGCTTGGTTTCTTCCTGTTTTTCATGCTGCAAGGGTAAATGTTACCGAATTAGAACAGCCTTGCAAAATGGTGCTTGCTTGTTAGAAAGAAGCTGTTTTTGCTAGGTGAGCCAAATTCCAAGTCCTCCAGATCAATGTAAGAGCAGACACTTGGAATTTGTCCTTGGAATGAAAAGTGCTTTTGACCAGGCTGGTTTAGGAAACATGCTTCCTCCTTTTTGTAAAGCAGAATTGGAATGGTCAGGATTGGTTTTGAGTTGTAGAACGTAGCTTCCAGACACTTTTTAGATATTCTTTCCTCCGTGTTGGGCAGAAGGAAGCCTGGAGGTTTCCAGAAGTACAAATCAAGTCTTTTACCTGAATACTTTGTATTGTTCTCCTTGGCAGTCTGGTATGTTTATCTCAGTAAGCTTATTGCTTGTACCTTTGGAAAATTTGTCCCAGCTTTACCTTTGCCGATTCATGGTGCTTTGTAATTGCGAATGACATGAACTTTTTTTTTGACATCCTGGGGGTCAGTGATATGACCAGACCCTCATCTGTGCTCAAGAGATGGGGCAAATAGACACTGTCTGATAGAAAAACATGAAGCTGTGGGCCATTGTCATTCCACTTATACTCCTCAGGGGACACAGTGATTTTCTGATTAACATTTTGTATACTTCTATTTAATATAGTAGGTCAAAGGGCTGGCCATAATAATGTATTTAAGTATTCATACACCCTCTGTGTGAACACAATTGAACTAGTTCCAGCTGAGATTTATTAAAAGCTGTAAGTTCCTGTTTTCCTAACTTTTCCCCCCTCCCTTGTGATTACAAACATTCTTAGATGGGCAAAGTACTTTCTTCTTACTTTTTTTATAGGACTGGGTGGTATGCCATACTTGGGGTCAGGGCTAGCTAAATTTGTCTTGACCCTCTGGAGGTACTGCCCGTCTATTCTGAGGGATTGCAGCCGAGAAGGGAAATGGGTGACTCCTCTGGGGTGAGTAACCTTGCTTTTCCCTGATCCATTTCACAAGAAAAAGCAGAGGATTATGATTTTTTTTTTCTTTCTCCTTTACCTTCAATCTTAGCAAAGGTTATTAGCAAACAATGTAGGGATTTTCTAGTGCCCTGAGATGGGACCTTTGGCCTGTGCACAGTGTGTGTTAGGGATTTGTCGGTGCAGAGTGAGTGGCGTGGAGCAACGCAGACCCCTGAGATGCTCCTCTCGCCACTGCCAGTGCATGGGAGAACCAGTACCCTCCGCACAGCCAGCCTGAGTGTTTGTTGTTCGCTGTGCTTGTCCTGCAGCAATTGTCCCCTTTATTTTAGCAGGACTGTTTGTATCTATAAGCACTTGGTATCAGTAGTGGGGGTTTCACAGCCTGCTCTCAGTCACTTTTCTGCTCTAGACCATTCTGTTGGCTGCATACCTCCTTAACAACACAGCTCTTTGGTGATCCTCTGCTGTCTGTCCTTTTTGTCATTTGGAACCTGTTAAGAACATAATGGAGATGCTCCTTTCTGTGGGCTATTCAACCATTGCCCAGTTTCAAGGGGAAATCACACGTGCTTTTTTTGGAAGGGTTTGTTTTGTTTTGTTTTGTTTTGTTTTTTGTTTAGGAAAGCAGATCACAATAGTAGTGATAAAAACCTAGCTTTATTGCAGGATAAGTGTGCTAATAAATAGGTGGCATACTCACAGGAAGAAATGCATCTGAATATATCACATCTCTCACATTGCAAAACAATGACAGAAACTTTTTTGATATTGCAATTTGCACTGGAGATATTTACATTTGCAAGGTTCGTGACCATTGCTTCTTACTCAGGGAATGGGCACATAAGCAAGAAGTTTGATTTTAGACACGGTTAAGGAGGCTGACTTAGAGAACAGACACTGTAAAATTGCCATTTGTTTGGTGATGATTTTCCATATTGTTTGCCAACAATTCGAAATTATGCTGCTTGCAAAGTAGAATTAAAAGTTTTGGTTCATGTAATGATTAGAGGATGTTATTGCCTTGAAATACAGAAAAACCATAAACTCCTAAGAACAGTCTCCAGAGATAAGGAGTGACATAGGGCATAGCAGATCAGGTATTATAGCAGACAAGGGACTTAGTAGTAGTATCGCTCATTATAGTTGCATAGCGATTCTAACTGGTTGGTAGTTTTAATTTGGTTTTTTTTTCTGTCTTGTGTCTAGCTTTGGTTCTAGTGTGCTACTGGTATAAACTCCTGAAGCTTCTGAGCAAAAAGTCCTAACACAGATACCACTTACGACAGCAGTGTGTACTTTTCCACTTTTCTCCTCCTTGTAGGTGGTCTTCTTATCTCCTCAGCACACTTTGGAGCATATGTGTGTGGTACTGATATAGATTACAACACAATCCATGGATTAGGTATGTCATATATTTCTAAACCACTGAAATCTTACTCTCTTATTTAATACTGCTGATAGTGAATGGTACTTAGTGCATTTTAAAGCAGCGTTAATCTTCACAGGATTTATGTGGTTGAGCTTATTTTTATTGACCAATTTACACGTATCCTAGCTAAGCTATTCTCTTAATTTTTAAGCAGGAAATATTTAATAATAGGAATAATGAAAACCAAAACAAAGTTCTGAATAGTAATGACAACAGCTGTGCGGTTTCTTTATTCTGTGATGTAGGAATCTTTTCTCATAACCTAACCGAGGAAGTCTAGTCCCATTCGTAATTCTGTGAAAACAGTGCAAATTATATCTGATTTTTTGGACAGGACTATGATAGCAATAGTCTCAAGTGAAGATCTTACAAATAAACATTTTTATAAAAGTTCTGTGACAACCTATACAGATGGTACAGCGGAACTGTTGCTCATGTATTTTCATTATTCCTTGTTACTTGCGAATTTTATCGCAAATACTTGTGTGAGTACAATAAAGCAGGAGATAAACTCTTGCTTGTGTGTGACATTTAAATATTTTCTTTAAAATAAATGATAGAGTATATGAAAGCTTTTCCTATAAAATAGTTTGTGACTGAGTATGGGGGTTTTTTCTGTCCATGCCCCACCCCTGCCAGGCAAGGCAAGCAGAAAGAACCAGAAATGGAGAGGGCCAGATGAAAATATCAGAGCTAATCTCCGACAGTATGGTTTAGAGAAATACTACCTTGATGCGCTCGTTTCTGATTCTTCAAGATCAATATGGCGAAAAGGGATGCTGTTTGATGCAATCATTACAGATCGTAAGTTTGTTAATGCTTTTTGTTGCCTAGTAATGGTGACTAAGAGATTATTGCCTATGTCTCTGCCTGTGTACGTTGATTTAATGTCTTGACGAATGCTCAGATCTGCAGTTTGCATATTACAAGAGATGACTGTGGAGGGTAGCACTGTGGAAATTTGATCTGTGTTTAACATCACTGCATTTATTTTAAAGATAGTTATAAATGGGTAACAGCTCTTCCATGGAGAGAGTATTATGTTTGCCAGTAGAAAATAATATGGCTGAAAATCGTCCTTCAAAGTCACATTCAATATAGGCATAACTTTATTGACGCATGGAGACTTTTTATCATGGTCCATGTTGCCGACAGGACTTGATCTGCAGCACACTGGAGTCTGTCGTGCAGCTCTGACGGACCACGAGACTTGTTAAATGCATACTGGAATACTTCCAAAGACAAATTTTAATGTGTTTCTGATACACTTAACTAGAATGACTGCTAATTTGAAAAGATCCCCTGGCCTTTTAGGAACCTATGTGCTTAACACCATTTGTCATGCCTGGGAGGGAGAAGAGGCTAAGGGAATAAATTAAAGACTTTGATACCGCAGTATCTGATCTCTAGTGCTCTCTTACCATGACACATTAATATTAATTAGGAATAGGGAATGTGAGTTTTATTTGTGGGTTACCTGGTAATTTTTTTGGCCTGTTTGGCAATAAGACAATGTAGAATATTAATATGACTAAGAACTGAGTTTGCAAATTGTCAAGACTTCTACATTTACAAAATTGAGATGCTGGTGCTTTCATGATGCTGAAACAAGACTCACAAAAAACAAAGATACTGAACATGAAATATGTATATTATGCTATTAGAAATGTGCAAAAATATATGAGAAAAAGCCATCTCTGGCTCTTCTTATCTGTCTGAGGATTACTATTTGTGTAATGTGTTGGCAAGAAATTCCAATACAGAAGAAATTCCAATACAGTTTAATATTGAAAAAGGTTAGCTAAATGGCATAGGAGAGATGGTTGTGTCTGTCAGACAACAGGATGGGATTATTTCTCGCACGTTGTAAATGTAAGGAATATCTTTTAATGAAGAAAACAGAAAAATTTTGTCCTTTGTAATGTAGCAAATGTCTAGGCTACTAGAAGCCTCTTACATCTGAAGGGCTTTCTTTGAAACAGTTTAAAGTAACCTTTTGGAGCAAGAAACTTTTAATAGATCTTGAAGAAATTATCTTTACCAACTATTACTTTGTTAAAGCTTTTCTTTTTTTTTATCTTTGTGGAAGCCATGGTTTGTGCACTGTTGGGTATGTATAATATAATTGTATGTTATTTGGACAAAGGGTGAAGTTCTCATCCCTGCATTATGCTTTTGCTTTGTATAGCACCATATGGTATCAGAGAAGCTACTCGCAGAACGAGTTCACAGAAGGAAACAGTTAAATCAGCTGAAAGAAGGTAGGTAAGCTGTCTCGTCTGCTGTAGAATATAAATGTCTTAACGGAAACCTAGTCACAGTTTTAGAATCTTCAATTTCTTGGTTGGCTGTCAGCAGTTAAAAAAGATGACAGTAATAATACCTAAAGAAGAAAAGCCCTTTTTGTCCTGTTTGCAAAACTAGTATGAGACTTCCTGAAATCCTCTTGGTTTTGTTCTCCCTGCTTATCATTTGCATGTGTTCAGATTTCAGATCCTATTTTTTGTCTCTGAGAGGCACCATTACTTTGTGTTTCCTATTCCTGAAGGGTTCTCTCCAGTCCCTGCAAAAGCTGCAAAATCAGTGTAAAATGGAATACCTCTTAGCCTTAACCTTCTTTCTTGGATTTCCGCTGCTTCTTTCTCTTCAGAGATAACTCATGACTTCTCCACTGCCTGGCCTTCCTTGTCTTCTGCCTTTTACTCTAAGTTGCCCTTCAGAATGATGCTGTGCAAAATAACTATTCCCAGCATGCTTGTGATTCTTTGACTTTCACAAGTACTAAACATGATAGTCCAGAAAGCCAGAAGGGGAATTTGGAATGTCATACTCCTCATAGTAGAAATTGTACTCCTGGGTTGTCCTGGGTAGTTTTGCAAATCTCAGATAGTGCTATTTTGTGGTTTGGTATTTTTTGAGGGGTTTGTGGTATTTTTTACTTCTTTTTCAAATTAAAAATGCAGTTTTTACTTGTGCTTTTATGTTTACACTTGTATTTTTTTTGTTTAGCACAGAAAATCACAGCTTCATTTCATCCAATTATCATCTAAGTGACATCTTTTTTGACCTCTTGAAGTTTGCGGCAGAATATCTGGTGATGGGAGGAAGATTAGTTTACTGGCTGCCAATATACAGGCCTGAGTATGTATTCTTGATTTCTGGTATGTAGCATGTCGGAATGGATGCTGCATTCTCCCTCCGCTTTCTTCTGGGGCATAGTACAGCTGGAACTTCCATAGTACTAGCACTAGTACATAGTAATGCTCAGACTTCATATTTTGAAACCTCGTATGAGGGAGAGCAGATTTTGAAATTATGCTTTTGCATGGAGATAATTTCTGACTGTTAACAAAAGGAAAAAAGCCTTTGCGTGTCCTTGCAGGTGCATGTCCAATGGGTTGAGATTTAAGCTTAGGAAACTAGACTTTCAAGGTGCAGACAGATTTCTAAGACAGTAGTAGCAAGGCTTTTATTAATATGTGTTTCTACTAAAGTAGTTGATAGAGGTGTATGACAGAGTCCCGTAAGAGAGCATTCTTGGCTCTTTGAGGTTTGGCACTACTAATTTAGCTTTCTTTTGAGAAATCAAAAGTCAAGTGACCAAGAGGTGGCAATGAGAGGCAGGAAGCGCAGGGGAGCAGCCCCATTCAGGACGAGAGAGGCCAGCAGAGACTGCAGGATGCTGTCTGCTCAGTAGTGCAGATCAAAACTTGATGTAAAAGGAAAGACATCTGTTTGCATACCTTACTTCAGCCTCTCCTAGATTAAGTTTTAAGCTTTTGGGTTTTTTGTGTTGTTGTTGTTTTTCAAAACTGTTTCATAGTAAACTGGAATTGATGTACAGTAGCTGTTTCTAAGTATCTTCCAGATGTAGATGTAACTGAAGGTAACTTCTACCGTGTTACATGCTTCTATGTGCAGTCAATCTATACTGATATATCAAGTGGTTGTTGTCCGTGGTTTCACCATGGTAATGGCTTCTGATAGTCCTACGTTTAATTATCACATGCTGGTTTGAAAAAGTGATGGTCAAAAGAAGCCATTCCTGTTACATGCTGCTGTAACAGAAGAGTGCACTTAATAGCTTGCTTTTTTTTGGTGATAGAATTGGTATCTTGGACTTTTTTCCTTGTGAGACTATTCATAAACATAACAATGAATGCCACTAACTATTATAGCTAATTGTTCAAAATGTGTGTCTGTACATGCTTAACCCTGACAAACCATGTGTGCCTGTGAATTCTTAGATTTCCATGTCAATAAACTCTGTTTGGAATTACTGAGTTTATGCTTTTTGTCAAGATACCAGAGCTTTTTGTCTGCTCATTGAACATTGGTAAAAGCATGTTTCCTCAGTACAGCAGTGTGAAGTGCTTAACTTTAGATAACTGTGAACTGCACGTTCTGGTTCTACTTTGGTTGCTGTTTTGGGGAGGTCAGGTCTCTCAAGCTCTAGTTGGGTTGCCTCTTGAAAAGTAAATTTGTACATACTACTGTTAATTGACTATGTAATGAAGGTTGAAATACTGAAGTCACTATATTGCACAGAATATTAGTTTAGTTACTTCATTTTCAGCTGTAATGATGAACGCGGGAACAAACATTAAAGCAAGTATGTGAGGGGAGTTAAGATACTGCCTGCTGATATGTTGTGCTATCAAATATCCCTTGGCAGCACCTGCCATCACATCCATGTGTTATTTGAGATCCTTGTGTATTACCTTAAATTAAAAACAAAACTGGATTAAAATGGATGTCTGTTAAAAGCACTGCTACTGCATTTCTTATTTGATAATGTTCTGAGTTTTACCTGAAGGAATGTAGAAATATATGCATTAATGCTAACAGACAAGGCTTTTTAACAAAGTGATAGTGATCTCTCCCTCTGCAAGATAGCATCTCGCTCCAAAGTTTACTCTTTCAATCTGACATTGAAATCATTGTTGAGTCTGAATTCTTTTAATTCCTTTGCAGTCAGGCTTTCATAGGGTTATGAAGAGAAACTTTTAAGATGTTGTGGCAGAGTGCCTACCTTTGTAAGACAGAGCGGCAGTTTGGTGGCACTAGATGCTTCACAAGCCTTGTATAATAGAAAAAACAGTTGGGAATTAATTGGATTCTCCTTTGTCAAAAGCACGTTTTTACTTCACCTAGCAGAAGCAGTGACTTGATTTCACACATGAGAAGTGACTGAAAGGTTGTTTTGCAATCTGGAAGCTTGGTAATGATGCAAAGAGGCAGTACTGTTTGGTGTTTTTGCTATTTACAAGTCTATATGCGGTATTGTCTTACTTGTTTAACAGCTCGCTATTATCTTTAAGAAATGATAAGGTTTCTGTCAGCACCTGGATGGATCCTATTTTGAGTTGTGTTGCTTTTGACTTTTCTTTCTCCCAGAACAATCCATTTACTTTGTAAATTATATTCAAAAAATCCACTTCTTTGGAGGAAAAATATGAAGTCTGACTTCTATTGACCCCCAAGCATTGGGGAATCATGAGAGCAAGCATTTCATATGAAATCATAGTCACTGACAATACCATATACCATTTTCTGCGTTATGTTGTCTTAACTCTTACAGGAAAGCTTATTGCAAAACCTAAAACTACATAGCAGATCTTTATTTCAGTATATAGGAAGGATGTCTGATCTCGTATTTATCTTATTAGCTAGATCAATACTTCTTGCTTCTATAGTCCCAGTCAAAGCTCTAAAATTCTTCTTTCAGCATTTGGAGAAATAGAAGGATTGAAAGCAATCTAGAGAAAGCTGCTTCTTTAGGAAATAGTATGCTTAGGAGATGGAGGCATTTAAAACACTAGCTGCTTGCTTTTATAGACAGGATTCAATTGCAAGCCAGTGTTGCTACCACCTGATGTTAAAAGATAACAGATTTTTTTTCTTCTTCCATTTAGAAAAAGTAACTCCAGTGTGATACATTTGTAACACCAAATTCTGAAGTCTTTTTTCACTGTCTATTAAGAGCTGGTTTAATATGACTTGGAATTGGAGCATAATGGTCTTCTTTTAGGAGACAGCATTAAGTCTCTTGTTCTTGCAACTTTATGTATCTTGACTGTGGAATATGTTTTAAAATCGCAGCTCTGATTGGATAAATTATTACTTCTGATTGGCTGAGATAATTTCTACTTGAAATTATACGGGCAGGCCTGTGTGCATACATTGACATCATATAAATACACACAGAAAATGCGTGTGAGAGTCTCTTTACTGTGAGGTTTTAATTTATTCTACACATTTTATGTCACAAGATGGTTGGAATATATGATGTAAAAACTCTGGAGTACCTGTATTTCTTTAATCAGATTAAAATGCATAGCAGCCTTCTAGTGTAAGCCGTTTTGTGAAGAATCTATATTAATTTTGCCATCTCAAGGCATATCAAGGATAAGAG